GTTTGCACAGGTGGTATGTACTGCAGCATGTCAGAAACGCATGGAAAAACAAATGTGTGTGATTGCCATTGATGAAAAGCCAGTAACTGCTCTGCTAGACTCGGGTAGTGTTGTGACCTTAGTGAAAAGTGATTTGGTAAACCCTGCAAGCTTACACCCTAGCACGATTGGGGTTATTTGTATTCATGGTGATACACGTAATTACCAGACTGCTCTGGTGGAGATTGGTACTCCCTGGGCCCTGTGACCCATTCTGTGGGGGTGGTGCCCTCTCTGCTTCATGAAGCCATAGTGGGGAGAGATTTTCCCCATTTCTGGAATTTATGGGATAAGGAGGGGAGTCAGGAAGACCGAGCTCCCCCTGCTGGGGAAACGCCGGAAACTCCTGAACTCACTCCTGACCCCTTTGACTGCCGAGTGGAAGTGGAAACTGTGGGTGTGTCCGAGGAAGGCGTAGATCTTTTCCCTTTCTCTGTAATGGCTGGGGAGCAGGAGGAGTTGGATCCAACCCGAGACATTGAGGATATAGAACAAGAGATGATCGCTGGCTCTAGTGAGAGTGGACAGAATGTGGTGCCTGACCTAGAGGTCAGAAAAGAGGATTTTTGTACGGAACAACTGAAAGATTCCACACTTAATAGAGCCCGTGAAAACATTAAAATGATTGATGGGGAACCAGTTGAAAATGATGTAGCGGTGTCTTTTCCCTACATGGCTCTTAACAATAACTTGCTCTATCAAGTGGTAAAGCAAGGGGAGGAGGTAGTAGAACAGTTAGTGGTCCCCAAACCCTTTCGCCGGATGGTACTGGATTTAGCCCATGGGCATATAATGGGTGGACACCTGGGTGTAGAGAAAACAAAGGAGAGAATAACCCAGAGATTCTTCTGGCCAGGCTTACATGGAGACATCAAAGCGCATTGTGAATCATGCCCGGAATGTCAATATTCTGCGCCCTCACCCCATTTTCGCAGTCCGCTAGTACCTCTACCCATAATTGAAGTACCGTTTGAAAGAGTGGGCATGGACCTAGTGGGTCCAGTAGTAAAGTCTGCCCGGGGCCATCAGCACATACTGGTTATACTTGACTATGCCACCCGGTATCCTGAAGCCATCCCCTTGCGTAATACCTCCGCTAAAAATATCGCCAAAGAGCTTGTTCGGGTGTTTAGTCGTGTAGGTATTCTAAAGGAGTTATTAACGGATCAGGGCACGCCGTTTATGTCTAGAGTTATGATGAGTTATGCAAATTGTTCAAAATCTCACATCTCCGTACCTCGGTCTACCACCCCCAAACCGATGGGCTTGTGGAAAGGTTTAACAAGACCCTTAAGAATATGTTAAAAAAGGTGGTGGACAAAGATGGGAGAAATTGGGATTTTTTGCTACCATATCTCATGTTTGCTATACGAGAAGTACCTCAGGCATCTACCGGATATGCGCCTTTTGAATTACTGTATGGTAGACATCCCAGGGGATTGCTAGATGTTGCAAAAGAAACCTGGGAGACCGAGTCCATGCCCTATAGAAGTGTCATCGAGCATATCTCACAGATGCAGGATAGAATCGCAGCTGTCATGCCACTCGTTCGGGAACACATGGAGCAAGCCCAGGAGGTCCAGAGAAGGGTTTATAACCGGGGTGCCAGGATCCGTACCTTCAACCCCGGGGATAGAGTGCTGGTGCTAGTCCCCACCGTGGAAAGTAAATTCCTCGCAAAGTGGCAAGGTCCCTTTGAAATTAGGGAGAAAGTGGGGGAAGTAAATTATAAAGTTTACCAGCCAGGAAAAAGGAAACCCGAACAAATCTATCATGTTAATCTCTTAAAACCTTGGAAAGACAGGGAAAGTTTGTTGGCAGTACCAAGCCCCCAAAAGGATGTGGTTCCCGTGGCCCCTCAGGTACCGATAACGGAAACCTTGTCAGTAGCCCAACAAAATGATGTTAAGGAGTTTGTGAGGAAAAATGGAGATTTCTTCTCCCCCCTACCTGGACTGACGACGGTCATACAGCATGACATAGTTACCCAGCCCGGGGTCCGTATAAATGTCAAGCCCTATAGAATACCTGAGGCCAGGCGGGAAGCGGTGGCAAAGGAAATAAAGGACATGTTAGAGTTGGGAGTGATTGAGGAATCTCACAGTGAGTGGTCGAGTCCCATAGTGTTGGTCCCAAAACCAGATGGAACCATTCGTTTCTGCAATGATTTCAGGAAACTGAACAGTGTGTCTAAGTTTGATGCATACCCGATGCCTCGGGTGGATGAGCTCATTGACAGGTTGGGAACGGCTCGGTACATAACCACCTTAGATCTGACCAAAGGCTATTGGCAGATTCCTTTAACGGAAGCTGCAAAAGAAAAGACGGCATTCTCCACCCCCGAGGGGTCCTTTCAGTATAAACGGATGCCGTTTGGTTTGCATGGGGCTCCTGCATCATTCCAAAGGATGATGGACAAGACGTTGAGACCACATCGCCAATATGCAGCTGCCTATTTGGACGATGTCGTCATCCACAGTCCAGACTGGGAATCTCATTTGTCCCACTTGCAAGCGGTCGTAGATTCGCTGCGGGAAGCAGGTCTTACCGCCAACCCCAGAAAGTGTGCCATTGGCTTAGAGGAGGCCAAATATCTTGGCTACATCATTGGTCGAGGTCTCATTAGGCCTCAGATCAATAAAATTGAGGCAATTCAAAAGTGGCCCCAACCTGTAAATAAAAAACAAGTCCGGGCATTTCTTGGAATCACGGGGTACTACAGGCGGTTTATCCCCAATTTTGCCACCATTGCAGCCCCACTGACAGATCTGACAAAAGGTAGGGGGTCAGTCATGATTAAGTGGAATCCTGAGGCGGAGACCGCATTTCAAAGGCTGAAACAAGCTCTCTGTGCTCAACCTGTGCTTGTGACTCCAGATTTCACAACAGAGTTTGTGGTACAGACTGATGCCTCTGACGTGGGACTAGGTGCGGTACTGTCCCAAATCAGAGATGGGGAGGAGCACCCTGTGGTCTTCCTAAGTAGAAAGCTCAACAAACATGAGAGAAACTATGCCATTGTGGAGAAGGAATGTTTGGCTATCAAATGGGCCTTGGAGGCCCTGAAATATTACCTGTTAGGAAGACCGTTCAAGTTGGTTACTGATCATGCCCCGCTCAAATGGATGTGTGATAATAAGGAGAAAAACAGTCGAGTGACAAGGTGGTTTCTCGCGCTACAAGTGTTCAAATTCACAGTGGAACACAGAGCGGGGAAACTGCAAAGTAATGTAGATGCCCTCTCCCGGGTCCATTGTCTGGTTGGGGACAGTTGCTCAGCCGCAGGGGCTTGAGCAGAGGGGGGGGATATGTGACAGGATGAACGGCGAGGTGATAGAGGGACGCTATGTGTCACCTCGCATATGCTCATACCTGACCGTTTTAGGTGGAGTCCACTCCGGGTTTTCGGGGCCACAGTTAAGCAGGTGGGTCCGGACCAGAGTTTGGGCTCCACTGATGACCACCAACAGGTGGTATAAATAAGGCAGGGCTGGAGCAAGGAGTAGCTCGTGGCCTGGGACTCAGAGAGGTGTTCTGAGAGAGCTGTGTGTATGGACTATACCTGCAAGAAAAGGTTGGCTGTTACTTTGTTTTGGTGACAGGGAGAAGCCCTTCACCTCTGAGAGAGGAATCATCTGCTGTTTAGTTAGTGCCTGGATGGCAAGGGTTTATTTTGATGTTTTGTTTATTTTGATATTTCTTGCAAACCTTTTTAATAAAACTGACATCCAGTCAGATTTTGACGAAAGCCTGCTGTGCGGTCTACCTTTGTCCCAGGGAAGGAGATCCCCCACCTGAGCTAACCCCACAATATATATATATATATATATATATATATATATACCCACACACAGTATATTGCCAAGTATTGGGACACCTGCCTTTACACGCACTTGAACATTAATGTAATCCCAGTCCTAGTCCGTAGGGATCATTATTGAATTGGCCCCACCCTTTGCAGCTATAACAGTTTCAACTCCTCTGGGAAAGCTGTCCACAAGGTTTAGGAGTGTGTCTATGGGAATTGCACAGTCTTGATAAACATGTAATCCCACTAATAATGGAAAAGATAACTAAAAGTGACAGTAGTGCATATACATAAAGTGACCACTTAGTGCTAAAGTTATACACTCACCAGATGCATAATTCCAATATGCATATAGAAACGTATCAGCTCCATGGTTCAGTGGGATCATCTTATGGGTACGTCTACCATCTCTGGGCTTCCCTCTGGGTACTTCTATCCTTTATGGGGTTCCCTCTGGATCATCCGGTTGGATACTGCACCTCTGGACTCCCTTACCTGAGAACTCTGTGGGTGGTGGGACTCAGCAAGAGTCCCAAGAAAGGATGCCAGAATGGTGTGATATCGTTTTAAAAATGAAGTTTATTGATCCATAGTAGACATAGGTAAAGAAAGCACTGACCATGAAAGGATTCAAGATGGACGCCAGCCCATGTAGGGACACGGCGGCATGACGTCTGGACTCCACAGCTCTTTCCCTTTACACGTTTTGTGCTAAATGTACGTATTCCTAGGGGGTGTGCTAGCAAACTAGGAATGTGTCTATGGGAATGTTTGACCATTCTTCCAGAAGCGCATTTGTGAAGTCAGGCAGTGATGTCGAACGAGAGAGCCTGGCTCGCAGTCTCCACTCTAATTCATCTCAAAAGTGTTCTATCGGGTTGAGGTCAGGACTATGCGCACGCCAGTCAAGTTTCTCCACCCCAAGCTTGCTCATCCATGTCTTTATGGACCTTGCTTTGTGCACTGACTTGTGTAGTCATATTGGAACAGGAAGGGGCCATCCCCAAGCTGTTTCCACAAAGTTGGGAACATGAAGTTGTACAAAATGTCTTGGTATGCTGACGCCTTAAGAGTTCCTTTCACTGGAACTAAGGGGTCACATCCAACCCCCGAATAGCAACCCCACACCATAATCCCCCCCTCCACCAAACTATACACTTGGAACAATGTGGTCAGGCAAGTACTGTTCTCATGGCAACCGCCAAACCCAGACACATCCATCGGGTTGCCAGATAGAGAAGCGTGATTTGTTACTCCAGAGAACACATCTCCACTGCTCTGGAGTCCTGTGGCAGCGTGCTTTACAGCACTGCATCCAAAGCTTTGTATTGCACTTGGTGATGTAAGGCTTGGATGCAGCTGCTCGGCCATGGAAACACATTCCATGAAGCTCTCTATGCACTGTTGTGCTAATCTGAAGGCCACATGAAGTTTGGAGGTCTTTAGCAATTGACCGTAGAATATTTAGTAGCAAGGAAATTTCATGGATGGACTTATTGCACAGGTGGCAACCTTTCAAGGTACCACACTTGAAGTCACTGAGCTCCTAGAGCGACCCATTCTTTCACAAAAAGTTTTGTAGCAGCAATCTGTATGCCTAGGTTCTTGAATTTTAAACCTGTGGCCATGGAGGTCATTGGAACACCTGAATGCAATGATTTGGAGGGGTGTCCTAATACTTTTGGCAATATAGTGTTTATATAAATATTTGTGCACCTTCAAAAAAAAGTAACATTTTTCCATAGCCAGTAAGGATTTCTTCTTTCAATTGAAAAAATTGACCCTGCTTAAAATGTCTGTAGGTTGTATCCTTGCTGGGTTCCTAAATCCTGGTGTGGTGTGTACTCATTCTGTTTCAATCAGTTCTGTGTGTGCTTTACCCAAAAGCAAAATTAATATCTTTGTGACCATAGCCCTCAAAACTTTGGTTCCCATGGCTTCAAGCAAACCCCACAGACATATATTATTTCCTCTTGGTCATTACGTTGCTGCCACAGCTCCTGTACGCATTAATACTGCACTCCCGCAATATTCTGAAGTTGCTGAACTGGCATATTCAGGTAGTTGGCTATGGGTTCAATGTCTTCCAGTTGATGATGAAAAACCCTCTAAATATGTGCATATCTCCTCTAAATCTTTCTTAGGTAAGGTTTCCTGATGTGCAAACATCCACTCTAGCTCCATTTTATTTGGTAAAAGGGGGAAACATTGCTCAAGAATGTCTCTCAATACTTTTAAAGAGTTTCTCCCGTGGAAGAGGTAACAACCTCACATCCCTCCTGATGTATTATCTGGATTTAGTGTTCCTTAATCTGCATTTACTGGATCAATTTTTTTCTGTATATGCTACATTGGCAGGGTGGCATGTATGTTGGATCTGGTCTGATTCTGTTACAGCTAGCACTTTGCACAGCATGTGCTGGTTAACTAACCATCAGGGGTTGTTTTTCTGGTCTTACTTGTTGTGGGCAAGCTGCAGCTGGCTTAGTGTCTCTGTATTTCAATATTTCAGGGGCTCAGCAGTTAAGCGACACAAGGAGGCAGTGGTATCAGATACTCAGCAAGTTTGCAGTTTGACTGCTTGGTAGCTCAGTATCACAAGAGAAGCAGTGACAATTTAGGGGGGCAGAGACATCCATGGCTCTGCTAGTCAGTGGCTTGGCAACTCTGGGAAACAGCAAGGGTGACAGCAACTTGGCAGCGCTGCCATCCAGAAGGAATAGCAGAACCAGTGATTCAGTTGCTCAAGGAGACAACAATGACCTGTGGCTGAAAAGCTCAGTAGCTCAAGGGGCAGTAATGCCGACGACTCAGCAACTGTGCAGCTCAGTGACTTACTGGCATGGCTGTATCCCCTCTGGAGACCTTGGAGGACCATGTGGACACTCAAAGGTAGTGTCACACACCAAGTAATGGAGCCTGACCTGGAGAGAAAGGCGAGCTCTTACAACTCCGGCTCAATACCCCTAGTAAGGCAACAGGAGGCACATGAGCTTGGAGTATCTGACAGTTCTAGTGATGATGGCTATGGATGAGACCTCTGTAAGCACCTGTTGAATCTTGGACAGTGACGCAGGACAGCAGGAAAAGCAGGCTGGCTGGCAGGTAGGCAGGCAGCAGGCATTTGGTAGGCTAACAGGCAAGTAGCAGGTATTTGGCAGGCCACAGTCAACAGGCACTTGGCAGGCTGGCATGTCACAGGCAGCAGGAATTTGGCAGGCAGGCAGGCAGGTCACAGGCAACAGGCATTTGTAGGCTGGCAGATTACAGACAGCAGGCACTTGGCAGGATGGCAGGTTACAGACAGCACATAGAGCAGGGTCAGACAAGCTAGGCCGGTCACTAACAGACACGTCAGGAGCAGAGCAGCAGGCAGAAAAGTGGTCAGGTTCAGGCAGGAGTTGCCAAAGATAAAGCAGACAGGTAAAAGGATCAAAGACATTTTCAAAGGGCAAGCCAGGGGTCAGTTCAGGTACAGTTCAAGCGTGGTCAGACAGATCAGGTCAGACACGGCTGATGGGTATTTTGGATTGGCGTGTAATTATGTGCCTAGGCACACTTTGCCTTCCCTGACAGGTAGCGTCCCCTTACAACTATGTAAGCACTTCTGAGCATATTTACCACCCTCTGTAAAGGTTTCACACCCTGAGCTCTACACACATGCTTCAAAAACCAAGAAACTGCTCTTATGTGAAAAATCCAAAAATTAATCTAATATCAAACTAGCAGCTGATTCTACTATGAGGTGTCAAGCCTACAGTGCAGCTTGATATATTATGATCTACACACATGCTGTCATAACACAAAATGGTAAGTTAAAACACTCTCCTTGGTACCCCTATATAAACTGAGAAGGACATGTTTAGAAAACTCAGTTTCCCTAAAATGTTTAGCTACCGCTGCACTCTTAAAGATAATATATGCATGGACCATGATAAATTTCCATTAATTGCTGTTTCCAAAAAACAAAACCTGTGTACCCAGAACTATCTCCAGCCTGTCTATAAAAACATATATCATACACATCTCCCAATCCCGTTTCTGCATCAATTTACCAATCCTCTAATTTTTGCTCAATAGGCAACCTCATTATTCCACCAATAATGGTGGTGCTGTACTGAAATGTTATAATTGTGTTTCCCATTAGTGTACAAGGGAAACAAAAAAGGATTCAATACAAAACTTTGTTGAACATCAGGTTTGGAAAGACAAAAGTGGTAATCATTGCTCCTTGATTTTCACTCTCTGAGGGTCTATTACTATAGCTACAGCTTATGGTTCATTATGGTGATGGTCAAAAAGAAGAATGTTCCTTACATTTAGGGTCAATAGGAAGAATCCCCCCTCATAGATAGCTAAAAAGATAATTGATGTGAGTAGTTACTCATCTGAGAGCCAGAAGTTGTCCTCATTGCTCAAGGAACCCCTAAAAATGTCTGGAAGAACCCATGAGTTCCACGGAACCCTTGCTGAGAAAGGCTTCTCTAGAAAACTAATTGCAAAGAGTAAAGCAGCCCATAGATTGGTTAGTTTTTTTCATTCAACCAAGCAGAGTTCTCCCTGCTGAATTAGCAGAAATAAGTCCATGACATTCCACCACCATTTTCAGTCTTTACAATCAAATTACAGTGTTGTGTTTTATCATTAGGTCAAAGCAACTGCAAAAAAACATGCAAACAATCTCTATAAACAGCATATCAGGCCTCTGCCATGTGGTACAGTGGTAAATCAGACCCAGTAAGATCAGACACCAGGATCCAAGAAATGGCTTACGCCTTTCAAGGGTAAATCCTCTTCTTTTGCCCCCAGCCATTTGAGGGCAGCAAGGTCTGACATATTACCTGGTGGTATATCTTAATGAATACATAGGAATACTATGGAAGTCCACCACACTCATGTGCAGGAGGTGTTTGTTACTTCTTATTAGGTCAAAGCAACCTGGATACCTGGGTTTGGTTTGGAGTAGGTCTGGCGAATATTAAAATTTTAGTGTCAAATTCAAACACCATTGAAGTCAATGGGAGCTTCATGGTAAAAAAAAAAACAGAAGTATACATTCGGTTCATTCATATTCATTTTCAGATGAAAATGTAATTTTCAGAGATTTTGATGCATGACAATTTCCAAACGAACACTGAAACAAATGGTAACGAATCCAAAAAAAAGTTATGACGAAAAAACAACAAATTAATTAATGTATTCATTTCATTTGGATGAAGTCATTTTCAAATTCCAATAATGATTCTAATTCATTGTGAATAGTTTGTGGTTGTTTAGGAGCTGGCAGCTGTCGCATCCTTAACAACCATGATTCTCTGCTGTCAGCAGGATATAAACAAAAGAAGCTGGTTAAAAAAAAAAAAAAACATGGAATAATAAGAAAAAATGTTGTGGGCTCCCCCCCCCCAAATCCTTACCATGCCCTTATCAGAGCATGCAGCCCCACAGGCCAGAAAAGGAAGGGATAAGCGAGTCCCCCCCCATTATTGGCTTCATGCCCTTAACATGGGCGGTACTTTGGGAAAGGGGGACTCCCACAAAGCACCTTGTCCCCATGTTTAGGTGAACAAAGTTCTCTTTCCCTCACTCCTGTGGGGGTGGTTGGGGGGTGTCTGCGGGCAGGGGTTTATCAGAATCTAGAAGCCCCCTTTAACAAGGGCCCCAAATTCCAGCCCCCTCTATGTAAATGGGTAGAAGTACATATTGCTTAATAGTATTACTTTAATATAGTGCACACATAGGCAAACAACACCTTATGATAAGAAGATTGTTGACATCTCACCTTCATGTTTGGACTTATTTAACAAAATGAAGAAAATTTGTAGATTTCCTGTAGACAGAGCCGGTGCTAGACTATTTTGCACCCTAGGCAAGATCAGCTACCCCCCACCCAAAAAAAGCAAACAAAAAAAAACAAATAATTAAAAAAATTGACTATATTAAATCAACAAAACATGAAACTGCTAAATTTCTTTTAATTTGAAAAAATAAGTGCCATAAGATGCCTCCAGAACCAATATTAATGACAAAATCAGTGGCATGGATGGACTGTATCTATGACTGACAGCGTCAGGGTGACAGTTGCAGTGAGTGGAGGATGATGGATCCACACAGATCCAAAGCTGGAATTCCCCATGCAATAGAGGGAGAAAAAATGCTGTGAAAGCTGGCAGCTGAACTGAGTGATCCCACACAGTGAGAAAGCCACCACAATACACCACCATTAACACTGACACCGATCAGCAGGCACTAGAAGAGCAGGCTGTGGGATGGTGAAGATGTCATCACTCACTGGCACATTGCACATGTGATGGATGTCGGTGCCCCGGGTCACATTTACACAGGCATGAGACATCAGAGTTGGACATTATCTTCCTTTGTAGGTGCAGCTCCACCTCCAATGATGAATGGGAAGAGAAGGGCTGGAACTCCACAGTGATCAGCAGCTGCCAACCTGCTTGCAGTAAGGGACTGAATCTGAGAGGAACACTGGAAGAAGTAGCAGCTCAGACACTGGCCCAAGACACCTGGCATATTCCTCTGTCCTTTCTTTCGCCCCTCTGCTGCCCTCCTCTCATCTGAAGGATCATTCATGATGTGG